CATGGAATCCACCAATTTGACTGCCAAACAGAATTTGCAAACTTCCTCCAGTAGACCGCACATTTTTACCACTGGCGACCAATGTCGAGGTAGCTAACTTAGCCCTGTTTCAGATAGAAGGAAATGGTTTCGATTAAATTAAAATCCCAACTGCTGCGCGGTAACAGAACGGATTTGACATTGAACTTAGCCCTTCCAGAGACTGCATAAATGTGAGAGAATATTTATTTAGATCTAACCGTTTTCCACCACCAGATTCAAGCGAGCTGATATACGAAACTTCATATTTAAAAAATATGACTTCCGGTAATGCATGTTGGGAGTGACAGTTATCAAAAACCTCCCTTATCAGTGCAAGAAATTTTGCTATGCCCATATTGGCGTATGCAGGAGACCGACAACAATGCGCTCGATATTCACTTCTCTTCAAAACTCGTTAGGCGGGATAGATATTCACTCCTTTTGACAGGTAAAAAGATGTTCACTAGAAAAATAGCTCAGTAGATCACAATACGCTGAATTACTCGATGGTCACCGGTANGGTCACCGGTACGATAAACCCATTGCTAAATGGGCGGGCAATGCGAGTTGAATTTGTCGGTAAAATCAATACATGCTCTGCTTTGTTGGGCGTTCAATAACCGCTTTATGTCACGTGGTCTCAGCTGCAGTTTAAATTAGGCCACCATTTTCCAATCGAAAGCGTAGGGGGGGGAAATAGCTAATCAGCCCGGACTACCCCCCAGTTGGGTTTTGTGCAACTCTTCTCTGCTGCGATCAAACACAACCATCATTGTATTTTGATATGGCTGGTTTTCTCCCTCTCGGTTTNGACCTATGTTCAAATTGAAGCACTTCCACAAGACGCCAACTAAATCATCAGATTTATGTGTCTCTCGATTAAGTTGCCAAATGCCAAATGCTTTTAATAGTTTCATCCGGTTTGGGCATGGTGACACTCCAGGACGCTTATTCAACGAGCTGCACACCTCAAGGTCAAATTTCGAAGATCAACTTGTGTGTTTCTTGGGTTATGTTTCCAGTTCTTCCAGTGTTGTAGATAATGCGTGAGTTGTTTGTAGCCAAATAATTTATCAATTTATTTAAATAAGAATATTTTCATTAATTTGCTTATTTACTGTGCACTGAATGAAAAGAGATAAGCAATTTACAATACATGTGCTCAACTTAATAAGCAATCTCATGGGCCAGGAATCATCTTTTAAAAAGAATAAATTCCCATGCTGCTTTGCTTAAAATATTTTCCAAATCAGAGCTGTAACGTTTGAACTACTGCAGATTTAATTGCGACACTCAAGGTCACGCAACTTCAAACGGTGAAAGAAAAGAACTAAGAACATAGATGTTGGAGATGAAATCAGTAATAAATACAATTAACTCATAGTCATCTATATATATAAGTATGATATTGCACGCTGAAATGGATTTCCAAAATGGGGGTGATGTTGCACGAGTTCGGTCAACACCTGTATATACATAAAGTTGTGCGTGGGCTTGCGAGTTGTGATCATCCATCGCCATTTGATCCACGGTTTCTTTGGGTAAGAATGCAACTGAACCGCAGATGAAAGTTCTACTCAGCAGAAGTGTGTTTTCATCCTAATGAATCACCTGGTCTATTGACCACACGGGACTAACCAAACGAATATCCACTCAACTTCACCTGCAGTGTATCGCAAAAAAACTTCAGAGTTTTCTGTTGATTTCTTTTTATAAAAGAGACCGTGACCGCTCAGTGCGTAAGATACTTAGGCAAGCATACATACATTCGGAGGACCGTTCATGTGAAACGTTCTTGGAAGGTAGTTATGCAGTCCCCCTTTTTGGTGAGGAAACACGTAGTTGTTTACCGGACTTCGGTGGGATCACACACAGATTTACTTATAATACTTATGATAACAGGGGAAGTTTTGTTGCGATCGTATAGAAATCGCTTGGATGTTACAAGGCTTATTTGACAATCCAATCTAAAAATAGGTAGGAAGAATCCTAGAACAATTGCTATTCGGCAGACGCATAACAATCTACAGTCTTGTTATCTACACGCTCTAGAAATTAAAAAAAGGAAAGAGTAGGCTTTACACGTAAAATCGTAACACTCGGCTATCGTCTGCATATGCGGTCTACTCGATCAACGTAAAGCTGACCCATGAATCTCGTGCTGAGACTAGAATTCAGGTTCCATGACTGGCATGCTGTCAAGTTAAAACAGACAAACGTGTCATTGACCACGAAGCAAAGAAGTGAAATTTTCTGCTGAAATCTTCTTCCTGGAGGTCGTTCACAACTGTACTCCACTAATTTGCTCAACACACCAATGATGATGATGATGATGATGATGATATTTAAGGATATCATCAATTTTTGACTGATGCGTGTAACTATGCTTCAGTGCGGAACAAAATGAACCTCACTGGTACTTGGGTTGTTACTGCTCGAACACATCTTCATTGATCAATGTTAAAGGCTTTGAAAAAAAAGAATTCCAGTGGTTTTGTGTTTTGAAACGTATAAGACAAACCAGAGCATAATGTTGTCTGAATGCTTCAGATTAGTTAGTGCCATCTATCGAACCTTGTTGGTTAACGTGATGGACATACATACATCGAACTGGGACAACGAGATTGTTTGCCACTCCCTGTTCTATTTGAAATGTGCTCTGTGAGGCTGTTTAGAAAAGGTACAATTTAATTGTCCCCATCTGACAAAGATGTATCGCCGGAGGGAATTCGAGACGAGTAAGCGAGCGAGAGTGGATGTCTATTGCATCGTGTACTTGTGTCATCAACTGGCAAATTACTCTGTGTGTGTGTGTGTGTGCATTCAACTAGCCATTGTTTCAACGCATCAAACACTTCAAGTAATCGCGCGCCTTCTCACCAACTGCCTCTCACACTGTGCACCAATTTTTCTGTTTGCCTTGTTAATCGGTGCATTGAAGCGCATGTTTCCTGTGAAGATCGGTCTAACGATTTGGCGGAGCAACCGATTCCTTCTGACCTGTTCATTCGGGAACCGGATGCGTGTGAAGGGTCCGGAGAGGGGGATATTGACTAACAAATAGTATCCCCTATAGGAAATCGAGCGGCAGAATAAAATTAATTCATAGGAAGGAATGAGAACAGTTTTTAATATCACCGAGTACCGATTCACAGTATCGGATCATTGATATTAGAATGATGCAAATGACTAGATCGATAGATATAAGAAAATACAAAACCGCTTGAGGTTTTTTCGCCTATCATATATCGTACCGCAAAGTACATTTCATGATACATCACCTAGTATCATTCACAATATCTTTCATTCATTGAGGGCTCTAATGCAATCCACTTTTGTCCGACGAATCACACTTCGATGATAATAATATTGAGATTTGAATAGAGAATCCAAAAATACAGGTTTGCACAATGTATCCTGGATCATTTCGCTGCATCTGTACACAAGCATACTGCCGTCCGTCTATATGATCATTAATATACGGTCAGTAATTAACAGAAACATAAGTGGAGAAATACTGCGGTCAAAACTACTCACCAAATACATTTGTTAACAAGGTTGCATCAGAGTGATAAACCATTCACGCTGTTTACACAGTTTGGGATGGATATTTTGAACTTTGACCGCAGTCTTTCTCCGCCTATGATTCTGTTATTTACTGACCATATATTATTGATCACATAGACGGCAGTATGCACGTTTACAGATGCAGCAAAATGATCCAACATACATTGTGCGAACCTGGGATTTTGACTTCTCTATCCAAATTCGTTACGGGGGAAACTATGCTTCCAATCAATATTGCAATTGTGAAACGTCCAGTAGCCTTGATCGGATTCAAACCCACGCATGGACGCCGCCTACGCTTTTGTATAGCGCCTGCTCTGCCAGCTGATCTACGAGGCCATACCGATAGCACTGATCTTTTCACCTTCAAGTCACCCGTCCAACTTTTGACATCCACCAGTTAGCATGTAAGCTGACTGCCGCGACAGGTCTTCCTTAGAATTCACCAGAGTCCATCAAATGAACTTCTAAGGCTAGGTTCATAGTTCAAATTGATGTTTGGCAGACTGAAGATGAAGTTTTCAACAAAAGATTCAATCCGTCAAATATAAATTTGAATAATAATAATAATAATAATATCAGTACTCATTTGAAAATGTAATTGATAAACTGGTAGTGAAAATTGATGGTAAAAACCATCTGCCTTTTTGAGAACACATCAACTGGGCAGAAGAGTTTGATTAAATTAAGCTGTCCGAAACTGTGCGTACGTGCTTCAATCCCTGTCTTGACCAAGCCAGTGATGCCATTGATCCCAAGGAACGCTTTGCGAAGAATTTTGTGCGTGGCCACGGTTATCAAGTGCGGTTTCGTTTGGTACCACAAATGACGTAATGGATTCTCAAAAGGTGCTCCCCTATGAATAGACTTTGCGCAACCGCGAGCCGAGTCCACGAACCACCGGTTGAATAAGCTCTTGTGCCATCAGTCGATGCGTACCCGCATGCCGATTAGTGATGCAGCCGAAATTAGCTCGGATTTCTTTCCACCTGTTCTACACACACACACACACACACACACACACACACACACACACACACACATTCTCGTGTCTCAAACGCTTCTGTGTAATCATCTGTTTGACTGGGGATGACTATCCGGCGTGAATTTCCGAATATACAGTTCGTCCAGGAACCCGGACGAGATCATAGGTATGTGGTGTGATCAAACCTCTCCCCCCGACCTTTGAGCTATCGTGTCGGAATTCGGACTAAACGACAAGTTAGAATTCTGGCGAGTTGATAGCCCAATATTTATAGCCGGTTTAGCCTTGATAGGTGAATGCCCCTATGTAGTTACACTGTTTTGTAATGATACTTGTAATGGTTGAATCACGTAGTAGGAATCACGGACGCCAAGGAAACACTGAATCACACTATAATTTGCAAAACGGTATCCCACGTAATCGAGACTCAAACCACAGGCTACAGGAGTAGTAGTAAGTTTATTGGAAGAAATAAGAGGATTAATTAACATGTGCAAAAGAAATTCATTGGTCATCCAGGAAACTACCAATCGCGTGTTCGTATTCTTGGACTGCAGGACTTCTGATTGACCGGTATAATCGGCCTATGGATCATTTTATTGCCCGGAAGCTGTAACGCGTCCAGGCACTTTCCTGGCATCATCTGGGAATTTTGACTCATTACAATTGTCCAGAAACTGTAACATGTCGCCTCGATATGTGCGTCATCCCGTAAGCTCTAGGATCACCACAGTTTCACAATAATGCCATATGTTGGTTTTATCTGTCCCAAATTGTGTCCAACTTTAGCCATTCAGTCATGCTCATAACTGTTTTCTTTTTTATCGTACATTCACTCTCTCTCTCTCTCTTCCACGTAGGTCATGGCTAAAATGGGCATCTCCACATTGCACAGTTACAAAGGAGCACAGATTTTCGAAGCCGTCGGTTTAGCCGAATCCGTAGTGGACATGTGTTTTCGCGGTGCGGCCAGCCGTATAGGTGGAGCGGATTTCGACGTCCTGGCCAAAGAGACCTTCGCACGTCACATGTTGGCTTTCCCCGAGGCGATGACAATGAGCACGGAGATCAACGATTTTTCACACAATCCCGGTTTCTATCATTGGCGTTCCGGGGGTGAATATCACATGAATAATCCACAAACAGTTAGCAAATTACAAGTGAGTTGTCGTTTCTGTTCGCATGTGTTTTTACCCGGATATCAGACTATAGTTTACTTGATGATGATGACGATGATGGTGATGTTGCCTGGCTTGGCTACGAAACATCCGCAAACCTCGCTTCCAGCTCGGAAAACTCACCAACATGAACGGACTGTATCTTACTTAATTTGATAGACTTTATATTCATGGAACACATAAACAGTAATTAATTGTTATTCTATAATTTTCATTTTTGTGTGCAATTATACAGTGTTTACGAAGCGAAAAGCGACCAACAAAAGGGCTCTGCTATATATCTATTAGGGAAAGTCCAGTGCAATTGTTTATATTAGAAGACAAGTTCGCCGATGAGATGATTTGATGACCTTGAGCACTTGACCATCACTGAAGAATTATTACAACGTTCTTGATTTTCTTTTTCTTCTGTTTGAGCCCCCTTTTTAAACAACCTTTTCCCGAAATGAAATTGAATTTACAAAGAAACAGCAGCAGCACAGTGTTGTGCAATTTATTTCTGGAAAAATGTCATTGTATCTCTTCAGATACATACATACTATAGCACATAATCAAAATGAACGAGTAACGGTTACCGTGGATGGGCTGTTAGTGTTAACTTAGTCCATATTTCTATCATGGTAGGGCTGGAGCTACAAAGAACTATTTGTCCTTGTACAGTTAAGTTTTCTATTGTTTTACAGCAATCAATTCCTTACCGAGGTCAATTGTTCTCCTAAAACTACCGTTCAAGGGTGATAATGCGATTAATTTGTCGCAGCACCATCTAAGCTCTTCCATCAAACCAACATACAACACAGCCGAACCATTTTTTGTCTACACATGCGACCAAATACCGGCTTCTCCAGTCAAGCAATCGCCTTCGCAATATGCCGAATTCCATCAATGGTACCAATTTTATCTGTAGGTGCTCGATCACTCACCTAGGCAAAATCAAACGTCGGCTTAGACACAGAGTAACCGCGAACACATCGCTGTGTGGGGGTTAACAAACTGGCGAAAGGAATCACATCCGAATGCTCAAGGTCAAAGATCGACCCACGTTATCGTTCGCTCGTCATCTGTTAGGCACTGAACATCAAATGAACGTGACCACGGCATTGAAAGTATCTTCATCACACCTGAACTGCCCAAGCAGAAAGAGTTATTTGTAACTTTAAGCATGCCTTGGTAGAAATATGGACGAGGAGAACACAAACAGCCTATCTCCGATAACCATTACTTGTTCCTTTTTTTATATTTTTTAACTGTAATATATACCTGAAGAGAGGGAAATTTTTCCTTTCTTTGTACATTCTTGCACGGCACTCGTTTTGATTACTTCATCGAACACTTGCTCATTCACAACGTATCGCGATTGATCAACTGAAACCAATCGCCTTGGCAACCGCGAGAGGCCTTTGCATCACAAGTCTTTTGTAAATCGATATCAAATGTTGAAGAGAGGAAAGGAAAACCAGTCTGTGCGGACACATTTTCACCAATCGTGTATGTTAGTCAGACTGCGATCCGGTTCCTTGGTTGATTAAAAACCTGACTGATTTTGTTAATAGCTAATCTGTCAGGTCACACGTTTGGAGAAAGGCATCTATCAATTGGTAAAAATTACACGCTGTTCCAACTTTGTTTGTCCTCCGGTATGTGTGCGCCAATGTTCTGTTCCCGTTTGGTGGTGTATCAGTTTTTCCGGAGTTCAGATCACTCAATGTCTCACATCTGAAAGATCGAATCCTTTGGAAGAATCAACCTAGGTGCGAATGGGTGTGTCACCTGAATCCTGATTACTCGAACGCTTGCCCGATCTCAATAAATCTGTGCCTCACATCGACCCTCTCCCCTCCTCACCGGTCTCCGACCTATCGCCTGCCCGTAACAAAGGGAGTGTTCTTTTTCATCATCCGCTCCCCTCCCCCCTTGAAAAAAAAACAGTTTGTTTGACTCAGTGTGAAGTGGAAAGTGTGTTCGACAGGTTGGATGTTCATAAGTGTTGTCTGGATACTCTCGGGTTAAGCAGAGCTGAATGCTAACAAGGCTCGTCCCCGGGCTCTAGATAGGAGGATATCTTCAACGAAGAAACTTAGCTGTAAATAAGTTGTGGCATATCGCAACAAATGAACAGTCGCGAACAAACAGCGGCGCGTACCACCAGGGTATGGTGGATTTCAGGCTGGTCAACTGGCGCCTGTTTAAAAACCGTATAAGACGAATGACGGTGTCGTGACAAAGTCAGATATGACTGGTGTTTTAAAACTAAAGTCATTGACCCCCTCACTTCCGAGGCGAGGGATTACTTCCAGCTGCCTTGCAGTTCACACTTGATTGTGCAAAGGCTAGAGGTGCGCCCTCAAAATCAAAAAGCGCCAAGTGACGCTGGGGACGTCTCTCTTGTACCAAACTCCCAAGGAACTTCATGATCATGATCATGTCTGGAGCCGGCTTATCCTTTCCAAGGAGCCAGCCGCAGTAAAGTAATTACGTGTCTTGAATGTTAGTGTGAAACGAATCACACGGCTATCGACCGGTTCGCATCATATGTTCAATTCCGCTTCGAAGGTTTTTTACTTCTGGAATCGATGGATCTATATCTGCTTTATCGATTGTTCTTTTCGCCTTCATTTTGAAAAGCAACAGTTGTATATTTGATTTAATAATTGGATAGAAGTGAAAGCTTTTACCAAAGCCAGAGATTGAAATTAGGCTCAGGAGTTTTAGCTCTAGTCTCAGAAAGTCAATCTAATGGAAGCATTTTCTTGGGAGTAAGAAGTACTCACTATTGGTGCAAGTTTTGGTTTCCCGTCATTCTCCACAATTGATAATAATTATAATTATTCTTATTTATATTGTATTATGAATTACAAATGAGGCAAAAGCAACTTGAAGGGCGTGCGTTGTGATCGGTTACAAGCTCCGGGAGCTGATGATTTGCCGTCTGAAGCGTGCAGTCAGCAGTATAAATAGGGGGTTCCCAAAACAGTGAAGACAAAATCTATGCGGAGAACATCCTTGTATGATAGTGGTCAGCACTGTCAGATTTCATGTGTGCATATCCTCCTTGTTTTTTTACTTTGTTTCTGTGCGGTACATTTTCACAAGCTGATCGTTTTCATTTCATGCTCGATGACGCCAAATTCGCGGTGAAGGCGGCAGCAAAAACAAACAGTCGCGAAGCCTACAAAATGTTTGCCGAATTGGCCGACGAAAGCGCCCGATTTTGTACTCTACGCGGACAATTTGATTTCAACTACGCTGTGAAACCAGTTCCACTGGACGAGATTGAACCAGCCGCGGAAATTGTTAAGCGCTTCTCCACAGGTCAGTCACCTTAAAGTATGTGCGTGTCTTGATCCATGTGTTGTTAATTGAGATTATTCACACGGCAGGATTAGTCGTTCGAGATTTGGGTCTCGGCTAAATTTTACGTGGCTTAAATGCTGCTCAGTGTCCAATGAAAGAAAATTTTCTTAGTGGGTAGGGATGTGGTTCAAATTTGTTTGTTTTCATTCAATTTGATTAAAAGATTGTTTGATACAAAAGTGACCGAATTTCAATGGTAATGGCAATTCCATTTTGTCTACATTGTACCTCCCTCGTCTAACTTCACTGGAAGTTGTGATGTAATTGTGTTATGAGTAGTACGCACTGAACACGAAATACGAATCACGGTTTGGCAATCAAGGATGAGGTGTAAGCACTGGAACACACTGGTACTTGCATGCAATATCCTGCAAAACCGAGACACGAGGAAAAGATTACAGGAATAACAGTTCGTTTATTGGAAGACATTAGGGGATTGAATAAAACGTACAAAACAAGCTCATTGGTCATCCAGGCTTCTGCCAATAGCCTTCTAGTATTTCTTGTGCTGTTCAGCTTCCGTCTGGTCTCTGATTGGCTGCTACAATCGACCTATGGTATGTAGTCCAGAATCTGTGACACGTATACGCTTTACTGACGTCACCCGTGAAGCTTGAGTGATCACAGTTGTCCGAAAACTGTAATGTGTCGCTCCAGGGTTTGCGTCATCTCGCAGGCTAGGATCAGGATCACCACACTCCCATAATTCCCGCGTTCACAGAAGTGAAACGTGTGGATGTATGTATCATGGTGAACATCAAGAGAACCAATTCGGATGAGCGCTCATTTCAGTGCACTCGGATAGATGAGCTACCGGAATAGGTTTTCATAGTCGATGTCAAACAAATGCCCAGAACCATCCAAACCGCTCTACTATACCTGTTCGTGCATATCAGGCCTACAGAATGGTAGAGAAGTGAGCGTGAAATAGACATTTGAATATCTGAGGCCAACAGAAATTCGGATCATCTCCAATGTCCCCTTTCCGCATATCATCTGGTCTTCATTTACATTTGCGATAACGCTCTCATTTGATCAAATGAAGTAGACTGCCAAAAAGAGTTTGTTGGATAACTTGCTTGTTTGCTTTCATATTACCATTCCGGTGTCTAACGCATGTTTTAAAGTGAATTAATGAATTTAGATGGTGAATGTTTGGATTAACCCATTTGGTTCTTCACAGGCACCAGGCACTGTTGATGATGTTAGTTGTGGGTTTCACGCCCGAATAATCGCGGTTCGAGTCCTGACAAGGACATAGAAAGTAAATACTGCTGACGAGTCCAAACAGGACGAAACAACTGTCCAGTGCTCTTTGTTGGTTATCACAAACATTATCATCGTATTTCAATGCATACAAACAGTTGATAATCAACGATCTCCCAAGGAGTGAAAACCACACCGAACATCATCATCAACAGTGCCTGGTGCCTGTGAAGAACC